AAAGTACGTTCCTGCTTACGGTTTGAGAAAGTGGTTGCATAGCTCTCATATAATTTTGCAATAGACATGGATCATTCCGTAAATATCAAGGGCAGCATTAACAAATTGACGCATACGATATATTATGAATAAACACCGCACAGTCGTAAAAAAGCTCAAAATAAGAAATTTTTAAAACCAAAGGAAACCCTTCCTTTAAGAATAACATTTAAAGAAGGCATAATTTTCTATCAAATAAGTTCAAGAGACGATTTTTTCGTGCATGCTTTCTATAAAATATATTTGAATTTACAAAGGCAACCAAAATCAATGATAAAAGTGCATATTATTTAAGTGGCCATTCTTTACAGAATAAACTTTTTCGCAGCGGTCAGGAAGAAGCTCATCACAGAGTCGGCATGCTAGCGTGCCTGAAAATAATGGAAATTGAACTGTATGATAAGCAGTATTGCAACCCTTCGCAATGTTGGTTTGCGGTTGCTCACCGGTCTTTTTCAAATTGCGGAATGTTTCATGCAGTACTCGCCATACTGTAGATACATTTTGAATGCCCATTTTGCCTCAGCCTACCGTGTGCTCTATATGACGGAGTTGCCGAGTGTTAGGACGGACCTAACGGACAGCCTTAGCAAGCAGGTAGCTTGCAGGCACTAGCCGCACTCACGGCAGGCTATCAATCGGCCTACATGAGGCAAAAACAGACTTGCAGTCAATCAATTGATTGCTTGAAATTCAAGTTGCAGTCATCCGTGAGTCGCCGGCCAATCGTGCCAGCATCTACGCCAGGAGAGAAGCTGATTGGCTCGATGCACATCGTGTTACACGCGTTTGTTGTCCTAAATATGTTGAACCTTTGACACTCAAAGACGTCTACTGTTGCACTCTTCTTGCTGTGTTCTTCCTTAGGGGGACTTACACAAGGCGTAATTGGTCGGTGGCATCTCGGCCTTGGCCACCGTTACAACACAGAGACGGTGGCTTTCATGGGAATTAGTTTGAGGTGATAGTAGACTTCGCGGCATCTACCGCATTCTCCCATCCCCCCCCCACATACTTGTGGCCGGTGTCAAGACAGAGTCCAGAAGACCGAATGCGGGATTGGGTACAGTTGGCTGGCGCAGTCTGAGCCTACATGCTTCCGTCAATATATGTGTGATGAGATATCCTCACCTGTTGGAATACTGGGTAATTTAGCAACATCACAAAGGCTGCTAAAGTCCACCATGGATCCCGTTATTTCCTAAAGTGGGAAGTCGTTCATCTGACCTGTTGTGAACAATGCTCGGTCGTTGTTTTTCGGAACTCCTTCTAGAACTCAGGCAGGCAGTCGCATAGCAACCAGTAACGATGCAAATCAGGATACGAGCAAAAATAAGGGAAACTGCCGTCAGCCAGTTTTACCAAAACCTCGCCCTGGTTGACACGACTTCCTGCATAATTATATGTCGTTATGCAGCTGCCCACGAGGACTCAAAATTAAGTTCCTCGACGAAACTAGATTAGGATATTCTGTTGCGCCATTGGTAAATGGCCCTCGCACGAAAAGGTGATTAATGTTGTACTTTACTGTACTGGCAGCTAAAAGCCCCGACACACGTGTTTCGTCTGTATCCTGCCGCTCTCTGGCACAGTTGCGAGGGGTCCTCCAGCTTCCCCTGCTTGCTTTAGGTTGATATACTGGTTTTGAAAGATCAGCTCTTTTTAATTTACTT